CCCCTCAATTGTACAATTATATACAAATTTGCTGAATTATTTCAAGTTGAAGTCAGTCAGCTAAAATAAAACTAAATCATTTTAGCAGCTTGATTCTACAGTGGCTACCCCCCTGCCACTCTTGCGAACTTCTCTCTCTCGCTTCTGAACTTTTTCCTTCTGTTTTTCCAGTTTTTCTTGCGTTTTTTTAATATCCTTAATTTTTTTCTTTATCATGGATCGGTCATTTTGACTGGAAACTCCCAAAGCCTTTAGGAGAAAATGGATATCGTTATTGTTTTTCAACAGAAAACCAACGTCTAAAACACTAAATCTGTTCAGGCAAATACTGAAGAAACTTCAAGAAATTGTCCAGTTCTTTACAGGGGAGTAAAGGGTGTAAGTCTGTGAACATAGCATTTGTGTTTTAATAGTAAATTGGAGGGCAAACTACTCTTTTACCTTGCTATAAATATTTAAGTATTACTTAATAGAGTAGTAGAGATTCTAAGATATGACAAAGTTAAAAGCCTGTTTAAAATTTTCTGTTGACTCCAATGATCCTGCAGTATTTGGTATACACTAACCACAGTAACAGGATTATTAATTCCCCACCTCCTTCACCAGCAGCATTGCTGAACTCAGATCAATCATTTGCAGTATTTAGTGTTTTAGAAAAATATCTATTAAGGAAAATAAAAGGAAAGAAATAACTTAGTGAAATCCTAAATCCCATACTATTGATGGAGTTTCAATCAGCTGAAAATGTAATAATACTATTTAAATTGATGAGGAAAAAAGCCCCTCAAAACACCATGCAAATATCTCTAAAGTCATCACATCTAAAGTTGAAAGGGTTGTTTAAGAACATCAAGGAAAAAAATATCCGTGTCCCCTCTGATTCTTTATGATAAAGGGCTGGCCGAATGCTTCCTGCCAGCTTCCCAACAAACTATCTTCTGCCTTTTTTTTAAGCAAGAAATTAAAATCCTGCTTGCCCAGGAAGACACTATATTGATTGAAGCAGCAGCACCACGATACAGGCACTTATCAAGAAAGAATTAGAATGTCATTTAAAATTCTCATCTTGCCTGTTTACTTTTTGTATTTCTCAGCACTAGCTAAACTTGTATGTTGTTGGTAATTTTGTTTTGCGGTTCTCATGCTTTAGTCCTTTCCAGTCCATTGTTTAAAAATCTATCATGGGAATTTAAAATAAGTCCATAAAAAAATTGTTATTTGTCTTTGGTTTGTAACAGCTGGTTTGTATCTAAATGGAGAGCCAAACTGGATTCAATACGATCCTTTTTTTAAGTAGTAAGAACAATAATACACTATTAAAAAGATATAGTGAGACTAGAATGTCTTCCATAATTTTACTAAATAGTGTTAATTTGTTAGTTTCTATTTTCTTTTAATGACAGATACCAAATTAGTAATGTCATTAAAAAATGCAGTTCAGTTTTTGATCAGCAGATGGCAATATCTGATTTCAATTCACAAACAGTGCTACTGTTTTATATCAGTTGAACTCTTAGGAATACCATGTAAATGACTGCTTCAACCACCAACATTCCCATTTCCTCATATCAGATAAATAGGTATAGCTGATGAGTTACTAACAACCTTCATTCTCTACCATTCAAAGAAGCATCCTCATACTACATTAAAGAACATTTAGTGTTATAAATCTATTTAAAAAACAGGCGCATTTTAAAGAGCAAATTAAACATTTATTTTTCTTTATTACCAGACATTCCAATCTATCTATTAGTCACTAGGGGCATTTATAGACATGCTCCTGCAGGCAGCTGGGGGCGGGGGGGGGAAGGTACTTTAATTAGTGTAGCTCTGAGACCTACGCTAATTAAAAGTGCCCGGAGTGTCATGTGTATCAGTGTCCCCAAGCTGAAAAATGGTAGTGAGGCACTTTGTACTAAAGGTCATCAAACCAGCTTTAGCTTAAAGCACCCTGCCACTATTTTTCAGCATGGGGATGCTGATACACATGATGTTGGAATCTGCGGGAGTGTGATAATTACCACACTCTAGCAGACTTTATTAATTGAGTCTGATGGTGCTGTAACTACAGCACCATCGGAGCAGTCTACCTGCACATGTGTAGGAGCCCTGGGACTGCCTATACACGTGCTCCTTGGTGTTCTAATTAGAATGCCTTGTAGCAGAACTGATCAATCGCTTCCTGTTTTAATTAGAACACTCCAGAGTTGCTGCAGCATCAGCAAATGTGTGAGGGCTTAATACACATGATGCAGTGTTTTTGTTAAAGTGGCTTTCTGGGAACTGTTCTAATTAAAATGCATCTCCCCTGGAACATGTATAGGCAGCCATAATTCTGGCTTCACTCTATCCAATATCCTAATTTAGTGTAACATCTTGCTAACCTAGAAAAAATAGTCTGCTGGCCTGAATGAAAAGCATACAAGTTGAAAACTATTTAGTAGCAAGAGATACAAAGTTACAGCTTCTGGAGGCAAAATAGCCATCTCAAAATAGCACCTGGATTATTTTCAGAGGTTTAAAGGCTAGGCATTGAGAGGCTTCTATAAAAAGGTAGATCCTTAAAAATACACTTCTCAAAAGAATGGCCATATCTGAAAGTAGAAAAGATTTTAGTAATAAGGAACTGAACTTCCAAAAAAGAGGTAGAGATTTGGGTGGAAGTCAGATTTCTAGAACGAACTAGAGTCTGCTGTGTTACATACTTGAGTTACCTGCATCCTGTTGTGCTGACAGATATAGACAGTATACTACGGGAATTGCCTTTTTTGGGCACCAGTTGCTTTCTTTGAGTTTTACTGCACTGCCATTGAGGAAATGTTTTATTTTGCTCTTTTATTCTGTCATAACTAATCCTTTTAATTTCAATATCCTTTTGTTTAATGCCATTCATTAAATGATCTTTGATTCTACATATTCTGCAGCTAAACCAAGAACACAGAAATAACTGTTATGCCCCTTAAAATGTTGCCAGTGCTCAAATAAGGAAAGGCTAAGTTTCTTTATTTAAAAAAATGCATCTCTGAACTAGCAGTCAAGTAACAGACATTTTCAAAATTTAAAAAAGCACTTACCTTCAACTTATCACTGTCTAGCTGCATCAGCTGCTGCCCATCTATATTCATTGCTGTGAACTCTGAAATATATTGCTCCATGTTCATTCCCATCAACCAATGACATACTTGTTGTGTTGTCCACTCAGAAATGGGTCTACTCTGCCACTGATTTTGTTTCCCTGTTGTTGCAAATTCATCATCAAGTGCCTAACCAATCAAGAAAGTTACAGTGAATAATTTAAGATGATAAATATTTTCCCTCTTTGACCGTATAAATTTATCAACTTTTTGAGATAACAAAAGTGCATATTTTTCAGTGCACTTTTATCAAACAAAAATCCAAAAGGAATAATTTATATGAAGAATAAATTATATGAAGAATTCTTAGCTTTAAAATTAACATTTCCTTGAAACTGTCTTTTGCAACAAGTTTTAACATTAAATAGTTCTTATAAAATCTTTCTAAATACTTTCTGTATTTCTATAAAACTTTAACATTTTCACTTGCATTCTGATGAGCAGACTTTGTAGTCGGTCCTCTTTAAATCCAAGACATTGTAAGAAATATAAAGTTATCACAACAACTCAGACAACAAAATTCACCACAAACATAGGCAGGACAAACATTTGTAAGACATTTTAGTTTTGCCTCTGAGAAATTGAATTGTCATGAAACATCAGAACACTGGCTTAAATCCAGGCATTTTGTTGCCAAGCACTGAGCAACTTGCTCATTTAAGGCAGCACAATCCTGAGACAGAATGATAATTCTGCTTTTTCTATACTGTGCCTAAAAAGAATCGTGTGGCAATTTGGCCATATTACATGGTAATTTGGGAGAGTGCACAAACATCTAAGACAATGAGACTGACCAACTTGCTCTCACTTGTAACCAAACAAGGAATTTTAAATGATTCAGTTCTAATAATGGGCACATCTACATGAGACGCTACAACAGCGTAGCATCGGCAGGCACAAACTGTGATGCTGACTCTACAAAGATGTGTCTAAAAATAAGTGTGTGCTGCTGGGACTGCGCAGTACTGATGGGCATGTGTAGACATGTCCAATAAGTTATAAATATATTCTACACTGTAACTAATAACAGTTATTACTAAGTGGTAGTATATTTCTCAAAAGTCATATTTATTCTCTTACCTTGTCCTGCCACACCAGATTTTTATTTTTAATTTGCTAAGTAGCAGAGGCTATCTGATTCATACCAGGCCATGTGTTATTCCAGTGAAAATACACCTCAATTGCTCAAACAGCCTAATCAATTCTTGGCTTTAAATCAGGAAGTTTTCTTCAATTTCTGCTTAGCATCCAAGAGGAAAGTCTGCTATTACTGTTGAAGCAACCTGTTACAGGGGTAGGCAACCCCTGGCACGTGCGTCAGAGCATAGCACACAAAGGCTTGGCATGTGCGCCTCAGGGCAGACAGTGGGGGAGCCATGAGGGCTGTGAGCAGCTGGGCTCCATGGCGGGTGGCAGGGGCCTGCCCGGTGCCTGGGCTGGCTGTAGCAGGCAGCCAGGAGGCTGCAAGAAGCTGTGCTGGGGTCTGTGGAGCCAGCTCACTGCTGGTGAAGGCACATGCATGCCACAGGGCAGACAGCACTGCCACAAGGATAGGGCCTCTCATGGCTCCACTGCCATCCATACCTGGCACATCAACAATTACAGTTTGCCCAAAAACACTGCCAACCCCTGGTCTATTACTTCACTAAATAAAAAAATTCTCAGTCTACAGAGGAATCGGGAAGCTGTTTTAACCGTTTTTAAAAACACTATCTCTGGGAACTTGAAATCGGGATTTCTTGACCTGATGACGCAACTCAAAATAGGGATAGATCGGACTAAACCTTCAGAAGTCTGCGGTATTAAGAGATCAAAACAAAACTTTATTATAACTGTACCTGAGGTTCATGGGGATTAAAACTCTGATTACAGTATTATGAAAATAGGTTAACCTGACACATTTACATTTTTGATCAGTGAACTGTATTAAAGACATGCCCATAAATGACTGTTACGAATCACCAACATGGTTGACCCAAAAGCCATGTTATAGTGTGTCCCATCTACTTAAAGTCCGTTTCCCATATTCAGTCTTGCATGAGTACCTAGAGAGGCAAACCAGATCTGAGGGAAAAGCAATGAGGGCGTCTTTACACATACTCTGAGGGTGGGGAGGGGCACTAATTAAAGTTCCTGCAGCATCTTGTGTATTCAGTGTCCCATGCTTCAAAATGGCAGCGGAGTGCTTTAACTAAAGGCCATTCAACAAGCTTTGGTTAAAGTGCCCCTGCCGCTATTTTGAAGGATGGGGATGCTGAATGCATGAGAGCACGCTAATTAGGATGCTCCAGCAGACTCAATTAATCAAGTCTTCTCTGTATGTCTATAGGCACCTTGAGTCCTCGGAGGTGAAACAATGGTTTTTCAGCTCCTCAGTGGCTGACAGTTTTATTCTTCATATCATACCAACAGCTGCTAGCAGAGAGTGAAACACATAAGTCTGAAGTAAATCTTTCAGCCCTGGACCAAGTAGGGTAGATAATTCTGCTATTAGCTCTCTCCAATAACAGCAAGAAAAAGATATGCTTCCAAAGCTAAATATCAAAATGCATTTAATATGGTCTAAAAACGGGAGATAAAGCTAATATATTATTTTTAGACTGCCTTTAAAACAATTATACTTTTGCCATTACAAGACATCAATACTTTAAAAGGTACAGGCCTCATTAATAAAGAGACTCAGACTCATTTACTGCAACAAGAGAGAGCGGATGGTTTTGAGCTGCCTAACTCTTAGGGAGGATCAGTGCTGTCTCCAAGCTGCTTTAACTTACACCTGATGGTAGCCATCCTCCAGACTAACCAGTCCACAAGTCAGGCCCATGGCATAATCCTCACCATCCCAAACTTCCTATATTGGGGGTAGTAGATGAGAGGTTACTGCAAGAATTTGGTCCCAAGGATTCTCAGCTGGCCAGACCCATCTGCTGTTCAGGACCCATTTTCTATTTGTTGCTAGAGGGCTGGTCTGTCTCATACATTGTAACTGATTTTTCACCTTAAATACTATTAACATGGCATACTGCAGTATGTAAAAAACTTATCAGCTTTATTATATACAATAACTTACAAAATTCTCTCTCATACTTGAGACCTAATTTTTTGGTTCTACAAAATTCTTAGGCCCTTGGCACTGATGGGGTAGTTGCTTTCCTTACAATTAAGAATGTATTTTTTAACTCCAATGGCCAGACTACATTTCAATTCTAAGATTGCTTTCTTTGGGCCTGTTAATTAGCTACATAATCTGGAAAGTAGTGTCAACAACTGAGTCCTTACTATAAAAGTCTGAAGAGGCAACCTTGCAAAGAAAGAGGGGTGCTATCCTTGCATGTTTTTAACTTTTAGGCTTTGCTTCCCACATAAGGAAAGCAAAACATGGTTGGAGAGAATTAACGCCGATTATTAGTAAAAGTAAGGCAGGAGACTGACAGAATACAGACTTTTTGTAATTTAATAGAAGATATACACTACAGGTGATGCATGTCACTAAGAGAAAGTAGACAGAATGTCCTCTTTAAGAATCCCCATTCTCCTAAATTCGCTTAGCATAATACCAGAATGAGTAATAACACCTTAAAAAAATTCTAACCACCATGCCATTTTGAATTGCTATTGCCATGCAAGTGTTTGACAGATACCACAATAATTCCTTGGATTCTGCTCAGTTAAAGGCATTCCCATACAAATGCAGTGTCACAGAAGAGGGCCCATGAACACCGCAATTCTCAACTGACTGCTCTCCAAGTGTCATCCCTCTTTTACTTAAGCTTAATAGACACAATCAACTGAGGTATGCCTAGAGCTGTAAAATGCAGTGTCAGGCACTGGCCATTTTTTAAAATAAAAAAAACCTACTGGTACTGTACATTCATTTTTATAGCTTAAGGACCTTAACTGAACATCTGCTTTTCACAGGTAGGAGCAGGTGTGTGCTGGCTCCTCCTGTGACTAGCTCTCCTCCAGTGAGTGATGTATGAAAAACATTTCTACCTGCAGAAAAAGACAAATGCTGATTCAGACATCAGAACCAAGAGAAGTTTGTGACAATCTGGGAGAACTGTTCTCCCTTAAGACTCTGGAAAGTGATTAAGGCTAGAAAGCCTAAAATTTCCAGAGACAGAAGACAAGGCTAGATGCATCTATCAGCTGATAGCAGAGGCCCCATTCATTGCAGCAGCAGATTAGAAAGCACCTAAACTGGGGAAACATGAAAGTACCTAAACATGTTGTGCAGCACACTAGCTCATTCACAGTGTACTGGAAGCTCAACATTCAGTGCTGGCTTCCCTATGATTAAGTGTCACTCAAGAACTCAGCAATACATCCTATTCAGATCTCCGTATTTCTGAGAGAATATTTCCCGTTTTCTCCCCTTTCCCAAGCTGATGGGGAGTTATGTAATATCAGAGACCAGTGACCTGTTAACACTTTGTTTCAAATGTAATCATTATTTGTTGAGCCATCTTACTGAAAGATGATGAGGTATAGTTTTTGTAACTGTTCCTTCTGTTCTTTTACCTTCATTTTATAAAATGCCAATGACAAGGGAACATTTAGTCTAAGATCTCAGCTGAAGGCAAAGGAGGTTAGAGTTTTGCGAGCAGAAAGAACTTTGACTCTCTCACGTACATATACCAGGAAATGTTTTATTTTAAGGATTAAATATCACTACACCAGTAACTACTTATCTAATATGAAAAATATATTTTTAAATGCACACTGGTGTGAGAAGAACTGAAAAATGCTGCAAAGTCCATCTATCTGTTCACTTTATGTGTGTCTTTCTTTTATATCACTTTCTTAATTTTTGAAACTCCCAACTGTAATTTTATTGCATAGCACTCATCCCAATTTTTAACATATAAAACTGTAGATCATGAAGCAAAGACTAAAATACCTCTTTACGATACGAGTCCTTAGTTAAATAACTATTTCAATGTTAAATCTCATTATAAAAAAACAGTAAGATACTGGAGTCATTGATCAATTTAATATTAAACAAAGCGTGTTCTATTAGACATACTGTGGTATGAATGGCAACACCAACAAGACACATATACACACTTTGAAACTCACCTCATCTGAAGAGAAGATTAAAGTGTGTGAACGCCCTGACAGATTTGGTTCTGTCACTAACCCTGATAGATCACAACTGGGCCTGCTATGGTATGAATCATCTATGACAATTCTACTCTGCAAACAAGTGGAAATAATAAATAATGTTTTATTAACTTACCCCCTTGGACAGCAGAACACAAGGAGACATTTTAGCACCCTTGATTCTTTGTAAAAAAATATAAAAATATGCTCACTGTATCAAAAATATGACTTGTTTTTATTGAACTTGAAAATGCTCAAATATGACAACAGCACTGAAGTCACAGCTGCAGTAATACTACCTTTATGTAGATAGCCATACATTAACACTTAAGTGAAAAATAAGCCAAGTCGGTATTTGGAAAGGATATTCCAAAGGAACGGTCAGATCCAGCAGGAAGGGGTACAGATTTAGTTAGGAAAATTATTCTTTCTGAATTTGTACTAAACTGAAATCACAACCTAGGAATGTGTGACTCTGCTTATAGTATGCCTCCATCCCTACCACTTAAGTACATAAAAACAAAGTCCTGACCACTACGGTCATTAATGTTCCCATAGCACTAAAGTAGCTCAAATAGTGGGGGGAAATTTTCATTTTGGTAGCTATTCTCTTGTCTTAAACTGGTGTGTGCATTGCTTTGTATTATTACAGTTTCCTCATTTAACTAATGAGGTGCCTGTATTTCCATGAGCAGAGTACAGTTTGAATTACTCCTATATGCAACATGCTATATAAATCTATACTATCAGCAAGAGGAAGGAGAGATAGCAAGGGAGCTGACACCCCTTTCCCTCCAAATTTCAGTCAAGACAGGTATACACTGTAGAAAGCTCTGTGCTGAACTGAACACCTTATATTAGACAATGTAAGGTAAATAATTTCCCAAGAGCACTCGCAATGCATTTACTCTGCACACATTTTTCTAATTGCCTCCAAAGAAGTAAATTTAAGCAGACATAAGTACTTCCAGTGAATGATTATTACTAGTTTCTGTACCATGAATGACTACTCAATATTCCTTTACTCTTGTAAGGTAATAACATAAGCAATGTAAAATATTTACTAAATATTTAGCAGCACAAAGACATAGCATATCCATGGTGTTACTGCAGTTTATCAGGAAAGTACTTTCATTTGTCTGTCTTCAAAAGTAGCCAAGATGCTAGTTTCAAATTTAGCCACAGCCACTAAATGTGAGACCTCAGACAAACAACTTGGACCTCAGGACACATACAATCATTCCATGCCTACTAGTAGAAATCACAGGCATACAAGCTTTAATTCAAATTTCTCCCAGGGGAAACTTGCTTGTTCCAGGAGATCTTCCAGGTCTCAACCTAGAAGAGCTCCCTTGTGACAGTTTCTTTTACAAGAACAAATGCTTGTATAGTCCCCTCCTGGTCTGGTCCAGAAAGGGAGAGGCAGGGACTGCCCACAGCTTAAGGCTTTGCTGCTCTCCTTTGCTCCTGGATGAGTCTAGGAGGGGAGGGGAAAAGCAGGGCAATGCTCCCTGGCCTCGGGGGGATTTGCCCTGCTATTCCCTCTGCTCCAGGAGGAAACTTGCTTGACCAAGTCACTCCCTTTTCTGACTTTTGCCACTGATCACCATCATGTTATTTATCAAATTAAAACTCCAAATATTTATTGTCAAAACTTCTTGTCAACTAACTACCTTATAAGGATGCTATACAATAAACATGTAGTTATGATTTATGCATCCTAACATAAGGTTCCAGAATAAACTGATTTTTAAAGACATGGTTCTTTCCCTTGTGGCGTCAAAGGACTGAATCAAGTTTGCTTGGGTATCCTGTGTTTTTATACCTCACCATGTTTGGATTTTTAATTTTTTTTCTTAACTTTTACCTTAACTCTAAATATCCTGGAAGCATAATGCCTGTTTGGGAATAATTAATTAAATAAAACTGATATGCACTTTCAACTTTAATGCCATTTCTTTAATATACTTTTCATCTCACTTGGGTTTTCCTGCTGTCTCCTTTGGGGGTTACTTTTTAAATCTGTCTGTATTCCCAGGATGGTGGTAAGCTTACTATCAGCTCAGATCTCTAGTGTTTCAACTTATTTTAGACTTCATGAAACCCTTCCAGATGCATCAAATGTAACCTGGAATTGTTCTTAGTCTTATCCTTTCAGCCACACCTTTTTAACTAAGACAATTGACAAAACACTTAGGAACCTGGACAAACTTAAAGTTTGGGATTTTTTTTTCTTCGAGCCAGCAAATCAGCTGCACCTTCCTCATGCTTCTTGTAATGGGAAATGATTCACTAGCAGGATTAAACAAAGACAGCCAAGGAAAAGCCACACATTAGTCACACTAGTAAAGAATGGTGGGAAGTATTAGAACAAAAACATACCCAGTAATGTCAGTCTCTCTACCAGTTGTAGCTGGTTTTTTTAATTTGAATATAAAACACAACTTTCTGTTCAGGTGCAGCCATGCTTATTGTTCTCTTAAGAATTAGTGGAGTAGCATAAACTGTGGTGGAAGATGCTTTGTAATTCATGAATTCTTAAAAAAGGCCTGTGAGGTAAACTTTCTTTGCTCAAGAAAATCAGCAACTTTTCTTGAGTGAAAGCTTTATGTAACACAACAGCCTAATCGTGTCTAGTTCCCAAACTGAAAAAGCATATATTTTGAATTTAGTTTGTTAAGCCGTCTCAAATTATGATGTGTGTAATACGAAATCATTAAAATGTTATTAATCATATATTCCTGTACAGGAACTTTCGAAAGTCCCAACAGAATGAAGGTCACTTTGTGCTGGATTCAGCACAAATACATACCAGCAGTAAACATTTCTGCTTTAATCATGGAGACAAATTGATTTTTTATGCTTTACTACCTACAAATAATTAAGGCAGATGTATTCAAACATTCAACAGAAAAGGGGAAAAAATTCTCTCCAAAGAATAAAAATGACTAAAGTTTAGGGAAGTTCATTCACTGTAAATGTTCAGAAAGAGTTCTACAAGAGGTCTGGGGTGGTTAAATACCCTTTCAGATTAATCCTCATGGAATGTAAGAGCTAATAAAATATTAATCCATAAATATGTGGCACCACAATATTTTTCATAGCAGCACAATTTTGCTGAGAAGTTATCTTGGAAATGCTTGTGCTCGGATAGAAGCTTAAGAAACAGCTTAAGAAAGTACTTACAAAAAAATGATATGAGACCATCATTATCTAGAAACATGAAGTATGTGACTGGTATATGCCTAGTTTGACTTATAACAAAGGATTGTAAATCAAGAGATATCAGTAAAAATAACCTTGAGTCATTTGTCCATACTTTGACTTTTGTCAAAAACCTTATTACTTTAGTGCAGTGTTTACAGTCAGGGCACCCCTCCATAACTTTTCAGAATTTGGTAGCACATTGCCTCAGCTTACCTCAGTGGTACTCAACCAGGATGCTGTCACCACCATAGCCAGGTAGGACTGCTCCAGGCACCCTGTGTGGAGCCAGACAGAAGGAC